GTGGGGCAAGCATGTGTGTGCTGGGTGAGTGGGGTCCTTCATGATGCCAAGCAAATAAGAAACCAAATAAAACCAAATAAGGGCATGTGTGACAAAAGATATGTTGTTATTGTTTAACTTAAATGTGTTTGTCAAGTACACACAGACACACACACACACAAAACACAAGTTAAGAAAATCTTTTTGTATCAGAAATAATGTTTTTAATGTGGGAAAAAAGGCACGAATATGGCAACAAATACTTGTTTTCCAAAATGTGTTTAAGTGTAGATAGGGGCTTTTTGACTAGTATAATAATCTAGCTGTTTGAGACACAACTGAATCATTTGTAAGAGGCCTTTTTGAATAAACTGAGATTTAAATTTGCACATCATTTGCAAGATTGTCACAATTTATTTGCAGCTGCAACACACATGTTGTGATTCAGTGTGAATCCAAGAACAAATGTGTGCACCTTCACATAAATTAGCATCTTCAACTAGTTTCCAGCAGTTGCAGCCCAGTCCTAAAACCATACTCAACAATAAACTGATCACTGTTTAACTTTGATTTTGTTGCTGTGCCTTGACAACACTTTAAAAAATTTGAAAACTTGAAAAAAAAAGAAAAAAAAGCAAAATCAATCGCTACTTCACAATTCCTTTTTCACGGACTTGCTCTATCGCGGTTTTTCATTGTAAGATTGGACATGACACACATCTGGCTAATTGATGGATGAGCCGTACAATCGGCATGGAATTGTTATTTAAAATAAATTATTTTAAAATATCTATCTTCTGTTACACATTTGTGCAGCCCACATTGCAGGATAAACTTCCTCCTGCAGCTGATCAGCTGAGCTCCATGCAAAGCGAAGAAGTGGGTGTGGCCGAGAGCACTTGCAGGTGGCAGAGAGCAGTGAGGCAGAGAGCTGAAATTATTCTGTGCTCTTTTAGAGCGTTTAGAGTTTAGAAACATTGTTTAGAATATTGCAAGAGTGTGGGAAGGATGTAAATGCCTTTATATACATACATATATATATATATATATATATATATGCATATATATTTGTGGTTTTTCACTTATCACGGGGCTTCAGGGTACGGATCCCCCCGCAATTAACAGTGGACTACAGTAATGCCACTTTACTTGATGATATGTGACTTATCTGTGCTGCTGATTATTCATGCTGCTGATTTATTGCCTTTAAGCTGCTGTATTCATACCCATCTTCTCACTACATGACTCATGTTCATGCTGCTGTTTAATATACAATATTATTTTACATTATTAGTGTTTACTGTATATCTTAGATCTTTGTACGTACTGTTTAGCATTCATTTAGCTTATATCTTAGATCCTTGTATACTGCTTCTTTTTAAATACTTTATATTTTTGCTATTTTTGGGTGTAACTGGAACCTTGAGTAGACAATTTCGTTCCACGTCATGTACCACATGTGATGCGAATGACAATAAAGAACCTTGAACCTTGACAAATAATCTAAATCAGCTTCTCGATTTTGGATCCACATACATCTTGTATTGTTTATCTGTAAACATCAGAGGCCAGAGTTTGATTTTGTCTTCTGTTAAAGTGCATTTGTTGAGGGATTATGACCCATCCTTCTGTTTGAAGCATGCACTGTATTACTCTGATAGCCTGGCAGACTCATCCCAGGAGGCAGCTCTGGAACATTCATGCTTGTGCGTGTATGAACACACACACATTTGCTTCTGCCCATTGTTGATGTACTCATTGACCATCTCTTCCCCTGCTGAATCCAGTGGGTCTTAATGCTGGGAGGGATCAATAACCTTCTCCCTCTCCCTGCATCTCTGCTGTGACTCTACCAGAGCAGCACCCAGTCAGTTTTGTGTTGTACTGAAAAAAAGAGACACACCCGCTGAATATTGGCTTTTAAACTTTAAACCCAAATGTCAAAATAGTGGGTATTATATCTGAGCAAAGTCAGAGTGTTGTCATAAAACAGCTGTAACACCCAGCTGGATGGGCAGGTGACTGTAGACGCACAAATTCACGCTCCTTCTATCACTTTCTCTCTGATATTAGTTGAACACAGTCCATTACTGCCAGGTGATAGGTGAATGTCACAAATGCAGGATGTCATAAAGCTCTGGAGTGGTCTAATGGATTTTGTTCAGGTTGAGGTGACACACGCACACCTCGTGGGTGCACACACATAAAGACAGGTGCTCTTCCAGTAAACATTTATTTTATTGAATCACCGCCCTGAGCTTTGAAGTGTCTGTTTAAACCTTTTTAAGTGTATTTTTTTTACTTAAAGCTATAAACTCTTCACAAAGGCTGAATGGACTTAAAGATGACTCGTGAAATTATAGATGTTTGAGGAGAACTTTGGAGCGCACACAGGCCAAGTGGCAAAAGCAGAGGTTGTTGCCAGCCGATGAGCCTCGTAGCCTCGGGGGGGTGGGCAGATGGGAGGCTTATGGATCATGTGAGCTCATTTGCTTCTAGTGCTGGCACAGAAGGACAGAGATGCAGGAAGAGAGTAGCCTGGAAAACACGTTTTGATCTATCTGTTGTTTTCTGTTCCGTCTTAGACCTGATGAATAAATTAATATCTTATATGTACTGAGTGTTGATAATCACCCACTGTTGAGAGACTTATAATGTTTCTGCTTGTGTGCATGTTTGTTTTTTTGTCATAATGGTAAAATATCTCATAAACCACTTTCCATTTTTATTGAAACTTGCAGAAAGTAGTGGTTAGTTTCACATCTAAATCTGATCAACTTTTGAAGTTAAGACTGCTAAATCTGACCAATCTTAGCCAACGCAGAATTAGCAATAACGCAGCCATTTTTTACAGACATTGAGGTAATATTTGGTAACTTCGTAGCTGAGAATCATTCCCAACACATAATCTAAGCACAAACTGATTGTCCAAGATTCTGTGCATCAGATTGTACGTTTAATTTAAAGTTTGACCAAAATGATTTTAGTGCTGTCTTTCCCAACATAAGACGATCTTTGATTAAATCTATCTATATTAACCTAAACAGACACTTTCAAGTGCTGTCACTGACAACGTTGTTGTCAGTTATGCTTTCTTCACTATGTTGTTGGTACAGAAAACAACAGGATGATAACAAACTGCAGATTTATGGTTTAATAGGCATTAACTGTATTAATTAAAAAGCTGACTTGTCAACCAATATAATCAGGAGTCAAATATAAATCAGCTATTAAATTTAGATGTGTATTGTTTTAAATATGATTTGAAGAAAATAAAAATCATTGTACTATCCTAATTTTCTAAAGCCATGTTGCATAACCTGTCTCCCTTCATAAAGCTGAGCCAGTGTGCGCTTGACTCATCCTGTTTGTGAACAGCTCAGTAACTTGCTGTTTTTTTTACAAGATACATTTGGAATTGTAAAATTGTTACTTTCCTTTGAAGATAGTCACCTGCAAATATAGGTGTTGTGTTACAAAAACAAAATACCTAAAGAAAAATCCCTTAATGAAATACTTTGGATTTTTTTATGTTGTCTTGTGTTGTCAATAATCAGTATCTCGTAGGCAGTTCAAATTGCTCAGAGTGTTATAAGTTTTAAGTAGCAGACAGAGACAAGCTATATAACTAGTTCGACCAGGACCAGTTTGAAAACATTGTTTTGCCATTTCAAAACAAGCTGTTAAAGGATACAGCATATTATAAACCCGTGGTCACGTTTTCATTAAATTGTTGGGTCAATTCATAGAATGTTGCCAGTAATGTTTCAGGTGAAATTAATGTTTTACAACAGAACATATTAGGCAAAACATGGCAGAGAAACTATTAGAGGCAAATATAAATCAGTATGAAAACCAATAAAATAATCTTTGCACGATCCAATATCAAATTATTTTTATACTGTATTACTATCAGACAAAAGGGCTGGTGGAGACACCAACTCCCTGCAACCCTGCACAGAAAAGAGAGTAAAGAAAATAGATGGATGGAAAGATGGCTGGATGAATGGATGTATGGATGTGTGGATAGATGGATGATGGATGGATTAATGGATGGATACATGCATGGACAGATGGATGATGGATGCATGCATGTATGGATAGATGGATGATGGATGGATGGATGGATGGATGGATGGATGGATGGATGGATGGATGGATGGATGGATGGGTGCATGGATGACAGATGCATAGATGGATGGATGCTTAGATGGATGAATGTATGTACAGTATGTATGTATGGATTGTATGGATGAATAGATGAATGAATGCATGCATGGATGTATATATGGATGGATGGATGAATGAATGAATGGATGGATGGGTGAATGGATGGATGATGCATAGAAGGATAAATGAATGGATAGATGGATGGATGCATTGATGGATAGATGTATGTATGTATGTATGTATGTATGGATGGATGTATGGATGTATGTATGGATGGATGGATGGATGGATAATCTATCCATCCATCCCACATCTTCATATAGTGCTAACGAAAAACAACAGACAATATGTTTGTTTTCTATTCTTTTTACACTCCACATTAATTCATTTCTAAAACAAACAAAACAACTATGGTTAACTTTTGCACTCACAAGTCTGAATGAGTAACAGCTAAGTTTATACAGAAGGCACTGTGGTTGCAGTGAATTAAAGGGATAGTCTGGACATTTTTGAATTGATGTTCTCTGACATATTAATTAATAGTTAGTACTTTATCAGTCATGATATCAGTGATAGAGCATGGAGAAAAAGGTAAAAGTCTTTGTACAGGTTAGACCAGTAGCTTTCCAAATAAGGGCATAGTTTTTTTTTCATGCTTGTAAATCAGCTTTTTCTCAAAAATGGCACACCTGTGTGAAAATACTCTGCTAAAAGGAAAAAAAAAACATTGTTCCCCACTGACTCATAAAGTTTTATCTGTCCATCATCTTTGTTTTACAGCAGAACAGAGGGACAAATAATACTTAATCCACTCAGTGTCTCATGTGTCTTCGTTTCTTCTTGTCTTCCAGCTGTCGGGCACCAGTGTGGTGGTGGACATCGCGGCGATGGGAGAGGCCCACGGTTTGATCTCGGACCTGCTGGCAGACCCCTCCCTGCCCCCCAACACCTGCAGCTCTCTGAATGCTGTCAGCAATCTCCTCAGCACCCAGATCAACCTGCAGCCGCTGCATCGCCCCCGCATCCCCACGGACACGCACACCTTCTCTGACTCAGAGGACGGGCCAGAAAAAACGGCGCGATTGGCCATTCCAAAGGTTAATGTTTGTTTCCATTTAAAACGCTGATAACTTCAATGTCTTTTGTTAATGTGATACTATGAGAAAAATGCAATCATGAGTTTTGTAAATGTTTTAATATTGAACTCAGCCTCTTCTTCTGAAAAGAATACTTTTAATAAAATGACAAACACGGTTCATATAAGTTCCTGAGCTACATAAAGAAAAATCATTAGTAAAGTTGGTTCTTGGTGCAGTTTGCAGCATGTTATAAATGGCTTCTATTGCGAGGCTTTAGAAAAGCAAGGAAGCATTTTGTATAAATGGATTAAAACAAAGTTAGTGGAGACATATCAATGAAAAACCCCTCCCCTCCTTGAATAATTAACACCCAATGTATCACTTCTCCCTGATCTGCAGTTCTGTTTGAGTGTCTCAGATTGTTTTGAGGTGAACCGAGTGTGAGGTTCAGGCTTGGGAGGCGACTCAAGTGCAGACTCAGACACAGCTGCGACGTAACAAATACATTTATTAATTAAAAGACTCTTCAGAGCTTTCTTCTTGCCTGGCAAGTACTCACAAGGAATGGAGAACACAAAGAAGACAGAAGAACGCCACAAGGACAATACTTCACAAACAATTATTGGACGAGGAGCAAGGGACAGAACACAAATATATACAGATGCAACTAATCAGGGCAACAGGGAACACCAGGGAGAAGGAAGGAGCCATACACAGGTGAAGGAAATTACAATGAAAGTAATGAAGTGAAGAACCAGAAAACCAACAAGTGAGAAAAATAACCAGGGAAACCTCACACTGACACTGAGGAGTTCTTGAGAAGTATCTACAATTCCTACATGTGTCCAGTTTCATGACTTTTTTGTCTGTCTAAACAGATCTCACTTGTAAATGAGTCTTCTTGGCTCAATGTGATTTATCTGTCTAAATAAAGGTCGAAAGAATGAATTAATCTGAAATACTGCTGGAATATAACTTGTTAAACATGTCAAAAGTGACATTTATTCAGCATAAATATAAATGACTGTCTTGTGCAAAACAGACGTAAATACAGTAGTCCCTCATTTATCGCAAGGGATCTGTACCTAGTATAAATAAAA